TCATGGGGAAAAAAAGGACTTAAACTTCATTTGGGTGCAGCGTTGCATGACCACGCAATTGTCAGTTAAAGTAACGCAGCACCCTAATGCAAATGGCCTGGTCAGGAAGGGGGGGGGGGGGTAAATCCTTAGGAAGGCAAGTGGTTAAAAAGTTAGATAGATACTCCTTGTCTTGTTTATGGCAAAACTGCAATCTTTAACATCCTTATACAAAGGTGGACATGACACCCAATTCTCTTCACCATAAACAAGTACGCTATGAATATTTAAGACCTTTCCAAATCTAATCAAACAAACTTGCATTTTACAATGCTGGTAGAATTGCAAATAACCTGCTCTGAAACTCCCGCTGACTTTCCACATATTTATCCAAAAACAGGTTAGCCCAACATAACAAAGGTAAGGTAATTACCTTGTGCATAAATTAACATAGTAAGGAGTTATTGGCTACCCTTTTGGTCAATAACACAAATCGATATATATATATATATATATATATATATATATATATTACAATATCCTACAGATACTTTTTCATACAAGTACATATGTACAGCAGGCACATATCAGGAGTATGAAATGTTGGGTTTCCATACTCTTTAACCCTGTACCACTAATTTTGCTGGACTTTGGCCTTAAGGGTCTTTTTCAGTAACCTTTGTACTACAAAAAGCACACACCTACACTATTTTTAATGAAGCAGCACACCAAAAGACACAACAATTACAAAGGGGTTGTGGTGTGATATAGCTTAGGTGTGTTTTATGTGGCCAACATAACAAAGGTAAGGTATTTACCTCCTGCATAAATTAACATAGTAAGGAGTCCTTGGCTACCCATTTGGTCAATAACATGAAATATATATATATATATATATATATATATATATATATAGCTCAGGTGTGTGTTTTTTTTATTACTGATTATACTGTGTGTCAGGGTGTCATTCGAATGCACATATTCTTATGCATTAAAGTGTATTTTTGTCTGAATACATGGTGTATGCAAAACACCAAAAGTAAAGATAAAATACACAAAAAAAGTGCACTTAGCATGTATCCATTAGTCCCCCCATGAACAGTGAGGACCCTTCCCTAACCTCCCAGAGTGCAAGACTCCTGATGGGGAGGGGGGGGGTTAAGGCCTGGAGCACCCTGTTCCTCGTGGTCAGCTGAAGCCGACCAATGAGTACTTGCTGAGGGGCTTTACCAAAGAGAGACCCCCCCCCCCCCCAAGTCAGGGGAGGGGGAACCTAATGGCCACACATTCTCTGGACTTCAGGGTAGGCCCAAAGTCTCACACCCTAAAATCTGAGTGAAAAGGAAAACAGATTTATAAATACAGGGTGATACACATGTAGAGAAACAAAATAAGTAAAAATAAAAAGCCAGTGCAGGTGCCTTGACTAAGCCTTGTGGGCAAGTAACAAAAATTGCTCTGGTCTCAGCCATAAGGCCTAGCCCATGAGATATTGTGCACACAAAAAAGCAGAAGTGTCCTGGCCTAGTGCGGTTTCACACAGTGGGATTCCACACTCATAATGCCTATCCTGCACCCCCAGGATGCCACTACTAGGGGGTGCTTGACACCATAGGCTCTCTGCCTTCCAGGTCTCTGACCAGACAAGGTAGCAAAGTCAAGTTAGGAGGCACTGGGCCCCTCAGGTTCCTTCACTAGGGAATTACTAAAGAGTCCCACCTCACCCAGTGAGTGCACCAATTTTTGTTCCCATGGGAAGATCCCTTGGGACCCCCATCATTACAGCAGGGGCACTATACAGCCAGCCATCCCAGCCAGAAGGCTAGAATAATGGTGGAGAACCCCTACTGGACACTGATAAGAACAGACACTACACTTAATCTTAGCCAAAAGGCCAAGAAGGCCCATGCATTAAGTGTATGTCCTGCAAAATAAAAACTTTTTTTTTAGTATTGAGTGTGAAAAAAAACCCATCAGTAAAGATTCACATGTGCGGTGCGGCTTGACAGCTGTGGTTTCAGTGCAAATTGAAAAGCAGTTGTTCAGCGGTTCAGGTCAGGGTTTGAAGAGAGAAAACATACCTGAAATTGTGTTCACAAACTCATGACGTGTGATTCTGAAGCAGTTCCCATAGAGATCAGAGCCTGTAATCCGCACCTGAACCGGACCGAACTGCTCAGAAATCAGGACTCTTTTTCAATCCACACTGAATCTGCATTGCTAGTGCACCTGACATATGTGAACAAGCACTATAGGAAGTAATGTTATTTCACATCATGTGAACTGGATGTGGTTTAAACCACATCCAATCTGCATATATGTGAACCGTCACTTAAGGCTGTACTGCTATCCAGGATTCCATTAGATAGATTTCCCCTCAGTTCCTGTCCTGATGACAATGTTTTACCAACAGGAAGTGAGTCAAAAAAACTGTAACAGTGTCCCCTTGCATCATGCTGCCTGGTGCTTTAGGGACCCCCCCCCCCCTCACTCTTAAAATGCACCCAACCCTGGGACCCACCTTGAATATTTGCTCCCAGATATGCCCTACCACCCTGCTATCGTCTGCTCACTCCCTCTTTTATCCTATTGTGGGGAATCCTTGCTTTTCTCCTGGACTACAAGGGAGATTGTTATGCACTCCCCTAGACTCCCAATGTTTCCATGTCTCTCACTTTATGGAATCCGCTCATTGGCCATCAGTGTTGGTGCTCACTTCACAAATGGGTCGCTACCATCTTGACTTTTGGAGTGCCATACAGCTCCACCATTTCTTGAATTCCCTTCCACCTCCTGACAGTTTTTGACATCAGTTGAGCCCCCTGCCCCATTCACTCTCTCAGATGTACTCCCAGCTGATTGCTCCACCAGATTACTACGCTTACCCCTTCCTACAGACGTGGGAACTGACATTAAATAGAACCTTTTTCTCCAGTTCAACATAGACAGAATATTTGTTTTGCTTGAAAATTGTCCATCTGTACACGGATTCAAGAAACCAATTTTAAAATCTTTACCAGATGGTACTGCTTGCTGACAGTGCTTCATAAATATCTCCCCACAATTCTGGACAATTGCTGGAGATGCCAAGAAGAAAAGGGGTCCTTACTGCACATCTTTTGGTCCTGCCCATAATTGGAGCATTTCTGGAAAGCGGTGTACCGTATCTTTTAAAAGTTCATAGATTATGTACTTCTTTACAACCCTGCTCTCTTTCTTCTACATGTCTCAGATATTCCAGAGAAAATGTACAAATCATGTCTATGCCACCTATTTAATGCTGCCAAATTGTGTGTTGTGCTGCAGTGGTGAGTCCCACACCCTCCTTCTATCCCATTCTGCCTCTCAAAAATTGAGAAAGTGAACAAGATGGAAGACCTAATACTTTCCACACGAAACAGACACAAGATTTACTCCAAAACTTGGGTTCACTGGAAAATGTTTACTTTCTCGGAAGAGGGGAAATCCTTCTTCCAACCACACCCCCCCTTTCCTAACTATAATCTACCCCCTTCTCTTTTTTCTTATGTACCCCCCCCTCTGCCCAGTCCTAATCTCATATCTACCCCCCTTCCCGATTCCTTGAGAAAAGACTCTATATCCTTTGCATTCATGGCTGCAGCCTGATCCAGTTTAGAGGCGATCCCCATATCCCATTTCAAGTACTGATGGTTATGTTACTGCTGGGTGTTCCGACCAGGTCGCCCTTGCACATGCTATCTATAACCGATGCCATATTTCCTGATGGTTTGGGGCCTTTGATGGGGTCACCTCATGTATGTCTGCTTCCATTGTATTCTCCAGCTCTGTGAGTGCTGGATACCTTAACTAAAGGAAAATCTGTAATGGCATCACAGACAGAAATAAAAAATAAAAGCTATCTTTTGTAGAAATGGGGAAGGCTAGAACTCCTGCCAGATTTTAATTTACTTTTGTATCCGTCACAGATTTTCCTTCACCTGTCTGGAGAAGCTAGGAAGTGAGGGGAAATCTTTATATCGGAGCCCCAGATGCTTTTCTGCATAATATCAGGATTCCGGTCTCCTTGTAGCAGTATTTGTCAGGGGCGTTCACTCACTGTCCTTCGAGGCTGAGAGTTATGTATTCAGTTGAGTTGCTGTCATCATTCCACTATACCTACTTATCCTTTTATACTGTATGAGTTTGTTTCTGTTTTAATTGTACAGAGTGGTGCTTTTTCTTTTTTTTTTTTTTTTTTCAACACTCTACTTTCTTATTTGCTAAGTTATATACTTGAACATTTCAATAAAAATATGGGAAGAAGTGGAGCCCCAGATAGCAGTAAAATCTGACATGAATTACCCCTCCCCCACACACACACACACTCTGTACAGATCTTTCCAATCTCTTTCCCTTAACCACTTCCCGTCCGGCCCATGTATATAACCGGCCGGCCAGGAGCATTGCAGGAGCGGGTGGCCATTTATAAATGTCCTTCCCACTTCCCTGCCTGTGTGCACTCCCTGGGAGTGCGAGGCACCATGATCCAGCACCATGAAAAGTGGGTGGAAGGCTTCTGCTTGGGGTTAGGGGCTTGCTGCTTACTTAACCACTTCCGTCCGGCCCATGTACATAAACAGCCAGACGGGAGCAGTGCAGGAGTGGGTGACCATTTATAAATGGCCTCCGCATTCACTGCCTGTGTGCGCTCCTTGGGAGCGTACGGCACCACGAACACGAACACCGATCACTGTATGGGACCTCTGTGTGAGGTCCCGATCATGTAATCACTGATTGACCAATCAGTGGTCACATAAATAGTAGTAAGCATCATTGCTTACTACTAGTGAAATCTGTGAATGATCACAGAGGTCACATGGTACAAGGCTATTCACAACAGCCTTGTACTATGTGACAAGCTGTGACCAATCACAGCTCACACAGTATATCTCAATGGCTGCAAGAATGCAGCCAGAGAGCAGGAGAAATGATTGCTTTTACAGCCTTTATGTGTAAAAAAAAACAAATCTTCATCACTTCATCACCCCCCACAAGTACTGCTATGGTAACAGTATGTTACAAAAAAAACATAATAATATAAAAAAATTAAATAAAAATGTTTGAAAAAATATTATTTTTAGTTATAAGCTAATTTGGGTTATTTTGTTTTTTACTAAAAAGATAGATTAATGCATTTTGGCTAAGATTTATGAAGAAAGATTATTTATTTACTAAATTTTATAAGAAAAACACTTTTTTCTCAAAATGTTTGGACTTTTTCATTTATATAGCAAAGAAAAAAAATACCAGTGGTGAATACATACCACCAAAATAAAGTTTTATCTGTCTCAAAAAAATGCAAAAAAATTCATATGGGTACAGTGTTGCATGACCGTGCAATTGTCATTCAAAATGTGATAGCACTGAAAGCTGAATATTGGCCTGGACAGGAAAGGGGTGAAAGTGTCCGGCCTTGAAGTGGTTAAGGAATTATTTCATCCTTGCAGTCATATTCACATTATTTACAGCCTAGTATACATAATGAGAAAATTGAATGACAAATATCACTTTTGGAGCGATCTATGATAATCTGATCGCTAATACACAGCTTTCGAGATCTGATCTGTCGTGTTCATGTGAAATTATCCAAAGGGAAAAGAACAAAAATATTTCTTGTATGATACTAGAACAAATGATTTTCATGTAATCAGTACAATATTTTTCTATAAAAAAATCCAGTGACCAAGACCGCACAAAAGAATACATTACAATATAATACATTACATCACTTCGGAAGTTGTATTCTGCCTTACAAGAATTTTCATAATTTTAGTAACCTATTCACTTTTGATATGAAACTAGCATGCAAAAAAAAAAAAGTAACGGACGATCATTCGTCCGATATCCTCATTGTGTGTACAAGGCTTTAGCTGTCTGCAATCTTTGTTTTTACAAAGTGCAGCCTATGAGCTGTGTTTGCAACCAACTCCCTCCCCCCAGATACTGTCAAGCTGCAGACAAGTGTGTGGGGTCTATTTTGTGCTGGTCCTCGATGGGTAGAATTTCAACCAAAAATTCCTGGGAAAAGATGGTTCTAGGAAGTTTGTTTTTCCTAGTTATTAATAGGTCAAATCGACGTCCATTTTTGACTGCAGTGAAGAGCAATTCTGAAGGATCGGGTTGGAAAATGTTTCTCGAACGAACAAATCTGTAACAGTGTATGTAGCTTTTGTTTGGTAAAGTGCATGTGTTCCAAAATCAAATCTTAAAGGCAAACAAAATCTTTCGAACTACAAGTCTAAGTCTTGTCCTAAGAATTTTAATTTAATTTGAATTCTATCCATCTATGCCCAGCTTTAGGCTGACTCATGGGGTATAATGATCAGCTTGAAGTGGAGTCCACATACTTGCTGGCTAATTGCAAACACAGCAGAGTCTTTGAATGCGGGCAACAACATAGGAAGAGCATACACAAGCAGAAATCACCTATTTCATTCTGAAAAGGAAGCCTATATATTTCTGATGTGCTCCCAAAATTTTTTAGAAAAACTCATTATGTAATTTTCTATACCCTTCCCAGTTGTCCAGTTACTCTGAAGAGATTGCTGGACTGGAAGTGATGCGGAAAGATTCAGATATGTACCCACATAGGAGTCCATTGTCTCCAAAATGGCTCACATTCAAGAAGTGAACTCAGTAGGAGCAACAGTGGCAGCACAAAATACAATACGTTTAAATAAGGGAAGCATACGAGTTGCTAAACACCCAACATACACTACAGTATGCCCTTTTTGGCTGGTGTTTGGCTAGCCATACACCTATCCATTAAAGTGGTAGTAAAGTCCACTAGAACTTGTACCTACAGGTAGGCCTATAATAAGGCTTTCCTGTAGGTACAGTGAATATCTTCTAAACATGTGGTGTTTAGAAGATAATAACACTGGATGCAGCCGGTGATGTCACTGGCACATGCGCTGTGAAGACTTTGTGCCATAAATCGTGACTCCCATGCGCATGCACGTGAGTGATGCCATTGCGGCTCTGACATTCAAAGGACCTGAGCCAATGAACCTTGAAGGAAGACTGGGGGAAGATGTAGGCACTGCTGGAGGGCTCCATCATAAGGTAGGAATTTCATTAAAAGGTAATATGCGATGCATACTAGAACATTATGCCATTGCCTTGTAGGCCACGGTTTACTACTGCTTTAACACCTATTGCTACCAACCCTCCTGCTCTCTATGAAAAACACTGCTATTAGGGGGGAGATGGATAGGTTTTTCCGCTTATATTTCTTGACTACTTCTTTTCCTTCCCCTATGACACTGATCATTGGACATCTCACAGACCCGATCTTTACATCGCAGACCCATAGGGAATTTTTACGTACCTCCAATTTTCTGCAGCAAACAGGCTGGATTCCCACTAAGACTCTGTTAGCTGGACGAACACCTCTCGTACTGGAGAGCTATCCAGCTTTCGCACTTCCTTTGTACCATGCCCAAACCTGCACTCTTTACTCTGCAGCTCCACTCCTTCATAGAGCTCTGCTCGAGTGAGGGCCCAATTCGTGGATCCCTTTCTACATCTTACAAAACCCTGTTGAACCTCCATGCCACTGCTGTTCCACCTTTCCTGATGAAATAAAAGAGAGACTTGTGAATTACTTTCATAAAACCCCAGAAGGAGCACATACTTTTTTTTTAAGTCCTCGTTTGTAGAAAATATCAGGAAACCTCCTACAAAATTACCACGTGTTGGTAGAGAACTCCATCAGTTTTGGCCAAACTATTCCCAAATCAATCTGATTGTTGCTGGCACTGTAAACAACACCCAGGCACCATTCTTCATATTTCCTGGGAGTGCCGTAAACTTCAAACCTTCTGGCAACTGGTTCTTCTGCTCATTCACAAATATACAGACATTTCCCTATGTAACGATCCAGGTGCAGTCCTTCTTAACCTTAACTCGAGGAAGCGGTAACATAAATCTCTTCTCAAACGCCTTTTAAATGCAGCGCAGGCGTGCATACCGAGACAGTGGAAACAACAGTCCTATCGTAGACCAATGGCTCAAAAGGATGAATGATGATAAACCGATGGAAGACGTTGCTTCTGCTATTTAAGACGAATCGGAGGAACATAAGACCAGGTGGTTTTATTGGGACCTTTTCTGCTTCTCGGATGAATTCCTCCAAAACGCATAGCTTTTGCTCTCTGCTTGAGACTCCTTTTGCATGCCATGCACTGATGTTCCTTACTCCCCAGGAGGGACTCTTTCTGCCATACAACCTCCCCCTCCCCTATCTTACCCCTACCACCCCCTTTTTTCTCTCTCCCCCCCCCTCTTTTCTCCCTTTCTCTCTGCTCCCTTTACCCTTTTTATTCTTCTCTATTCTCTTTCTTTTCTCTTTTATTTTAACATACTAAATATTGGTATGCTCAGACCTTAGTTGGACGTCTGGCATTAGACTCCATTTACCGGGAACGTCTTTCGGAAGTTAGAGGGACTCTCTTTCATTGCAGGGTGAGTGTTTGTATGACCCACCCAGAGAGACCCTCTTAACTTCTATACACTCATTATATGGCAGCTTGGGCTCCATGTGCACTTACAATCTCATCTTCTGATAACTGCCGAGTGATCATATATCCACCAGGATGTATCCACATATTGATTGTGCAAATGCTATTTTGCATGGATTATATGTACTGTGAAGTTTGGTCAGTGGTTTCCCACTGAAAGAAAACACAACCTGGCACTGCCTATAGCATTGACTACTAAGTCTCTAGACTCATTGTTGGCCCATAGTAAAAAGTATATCTTATGGCGTCATTCCAAGCTATGGATGGAAAGAAAAGGATCACCCCACCGGCAAGTGAGAAGAGGGGAACATGAGTCCGAGCGACTCCAGTGTCAAACTATACAAATGAAGGGATGGACACTGCTCACCCAAACCCCAGGAGTCCAATGTTGAGGTATGGCTGCAGCTGCCGTACTGGCTACACCCTCTGATCCTCTGGTGCCCTGCCCACCGGGGCTTGATCACAGAGGTTGTTAGCCATTGTTTGCCATTTAAATTTGTATCTGCACAATCACCATCTTGTGTCACTCCATAATAGAAAGTGTAAATTCTCATTTTCTAGCAGTAGTAGATTTGAGCAGAATTAAAATAGCTTTGTTTAAGGCTCGGTTCACACCAGTGCGACTTTAATGTGATTTTTACACTCTATGGCACCCAAGTCTCAAGAAAGTTGCAGCAAAGTAGTGCAGGACCTATTTCTAAAGCCGCAGTGATTTCAGTCACATATACTGGAACGGGTGCCATTCAAATAAATGGGCTGCAACAAATCGCACTAGTGTGAACTGAGCCGAATTTGCAAAAGATGATTGTATTTCATTTTTGTAAGTGAGTTTGTGAGTGGCCATTACTTTTTGCATAAAATGGAGCAGATTTTTTGTTAAGATTGTTTACTTTATTCAAACTTTGTGTATTTGAGGCAATCAATTTTCTATAAAATAAAGTGCATATATTCATTGCATGCAAAGTTGTGTTTTTGTGAATATTTCTGCAGAAGGGGTCCATAACTTTCATCAGATTCTTAAAGGGATCTGTGACTCAAAAAAGGTTAAGAACCACTGATATTGAATTTTAGAACTTTTTATTACTGTACAAAATTATATAGCAAAATCAGCACATCATATATATTTTGTATGTATTCTGAAATGTACTTTGTACCTCCTTTTGCTCATACATTCAATAACCTATATATATATCATAGGCACAAAGCTAACACACCAAGACAAGGATCCTTTTTTCTAAAATAAAGTGATAGATGTTTTCCAGGGAATTCAATGATATGTGGTAAATACAGTCACACATCTACAATAAAGAGCTCCATCCTTGTGTTAAAGCTTTGGAAATTGAGCTTTGTGTATTATTTTCCACTATGCTGATTTGTATGGAAACTTGTTTACAAAGTATTAGTAAACCAGCTTGTACATTCACAGGCTTTCCTTTGCTATGCCTAATGCCCTGCTAATTGCTGCCCTGTTTGTCAGAAGCAGTGGCACAGTTCATTCCTGCCCCTTGCCTATCCACAGTGCCTACAAGCGGTACACAAAACTCCACCCCTGGCGATGACATTGGTGTGGAGGGAGGGCTGTGTGCAGGCTTTAAGAGACAAAGCCTCCAGAGCCAGCTGTCACATTGCTACCAGATGGTCTTTAACTCATCGTTTTTCTTGTGGAAAAAAATACATCTTGGCTGGTGATTGTTTCTCTTTAGGCATGTTTCTTGCTGTCAGTGTGGTACTGATTGTATCTCTTGGGAAATGTTACTTTTCTGTGTTAGTAAGGTGCTGATTGTATCTCTTGGGAAATGTTTCTTTTCTGTGTAAGGTACTGATTTTGTCTCTTTGGGCATGTTTCTTTTTGCGTCAGTGTGATACTGGTTGTATCTCTTGGAAAATGTTTTTTTTGTG